AGTCTGGCTCTATACATGGTAGATAAAATCTCACCCAGGAGGAAACTACCAATCAGAGAGCAGCGCCTCCAGGCTTTCCTACCAGTTAAAGGTCAATGCAGTCTAATTGTAAACAAACAGCATTATTGTGCTGCAGTATGTCATGGGATGAGGTTCAGGTTATTATTTGGTTTGCAGTAGATGAACAACACATCCATGTTGTCAACACATTGTGCAAACAACACAGACAATAGACAAACATGATAAAAGTGCTTGAAGCTCCAATAATCGAGATAAAAAAGAGAAAAACAACAATAAAATAAAGCTGCGAGCAGCGTTAAATGGGCCCTCACCCCTACACGCGCCTTGAAGGGAGTTTTGCAATTTAGCATTGCAAAGGTCTTTAGATTGCACTGCCCATATTTGAAGTTGATCAGATTAATTCTCTTGGAGTTCGTCAAAGCAATTCAAAAATGGCTAACTTCCTGTTGGTTTTGGGGCGTTTGCTCCAGGAGGCTTTAAGGGTTAGCGATGCGACATCTGCCTTGCAAATTTCATACATCTAGGTGAAACCCACAGTGGGGGCTGCTTTTGTGAAATTTCTTAGGGGGCCCTATAACGCTTCCTGGCTACACCCCAAGCCCAATGACTGCATTACTTTGAGAATTTAGCCAGTCCTGACGTGTGACAAATGTTCGTAATGTTTAGGGCATCCTAAGCCACCCAAAACATGTTTAACAAGTAGAATAACTGTAATAATAATCTTTCCAAAAACAAAAGGTTCCTGGCACTTTTGCTCGGGCCCTAAAAACATTAAAATAACCACTAGAATAAAAAAACAAAACCAAAACTACAACACTAGAATAAAGTAAAATGCAGGCACGACTGTACCAGCTTGTTCCAGCTGGATCACCATGACAACATAGCATCATTTTGACACGTGATGAATCGGTGGTCTTACACACGTTACAAGTCTTAGCGGGTTGATTTATTTGTTGCTGTGAAGTAAACTAACTGAAGGCCTTTATTAGGTTATCTGTATGCTTTAGAAAATGAGCATCACAATGTAAAGTGTGTGATTTGTCATGATGCACCAGTGTGAAATTTATCGTGTTCCCACCTGTTCTGTCATCAGGTTGGTGGAGCCTAAGGATGCGGAGACCGCAGGAGCCCTGATGACGTTCTTCTTGGCCCTGGGTCTGTCCATAGGCGCTGCCCTGTCCTTCCCTCTCCGAGCTCTGGTCTAATCACACACAGCACTCTATAGACCCTGTCAAATATTTTCTCGCACCCTTGGAGGGGGAAATATGATAAGTGGTTTATCACTGCCCCTCCTGGACGACCTTCTCGTTTTCCCCCCATTCATCTGTCAGATGCCGGGTTTAACAGCACGACAGCGCCCGGGTGAAGCTTTGAAAACACAGCCCAGGAAGTGCTACTGCTCTTAAATGACTGATTCCCTTAACAAGGAGGAATAAGGGAAACGCCACGTGTTACCTGCTACTAGCCCGAAGAAGCCAGTTAAAAAAGATTTCCTCTCTGTGCCACAGTTACAGGATTGATTGAGTTTTACTTTTTATTTTGAAAGTGTGTGTTTTTAGGTTTGTTTAATTCAGGTTTGTTAAAATTTAGGGCATTATCCTCAGATGACCATATGTAGATAAAAGGAAACCTTAGAAAGACAGACTTGATTGATTTTCATAAGCTGTACTTACAGCAACCTGATAGAAGTATTTCAATTTTATTGATGCTTAAAAGATGAATTAGCTTTTTGTCAGTTAAGTATTCTTGATGTATTTTTCTTCCTAGTTATTTTGTATTTTCTAATGAAATAGCTCTGTTACAGAAGTTGAACAAACAAAACAGTTTTTAATAATCCTTTGCTGTAAATTACCAATGAAAGGTTACCAGGCCTTAGGTAAGGGAGGGGTGCATGTGTGCGCCCGCCCAGGGGCCTCTCCAGCATCAAGGCAACTACTGCCATCTACTGGTCAAAACACTCAAGGTCTTCAGGCCTTCATTTCCCTTTCTAAAAAGCCTCTGTTCTCTCAAACATGAAAAACTGTTGTCACTGCTGTGACTCTGAAGTCACGCGATACTGCTGAATAACAGGAAGCTGAGATTACAGCACCTGGTGATACTTGGTTGTATTTCTTTGTTGATGTCTGTGTTGATGATAACGGGTTATGTGAGCATGACAACATTCTTCCCTTGACATATGCCTGCAACTGAAGCCATGAAGCTGAACGCTTGTTTCAACACAGGAAGCTGGTTAAAATCTTTAACTTCTCCTGAAAATAACTGGCAGCTGCTGTTTTGTTATTAAACATGCAAATGTAGGGTTAGTAAAAGAAATGAGAAAATAAATTTAGAGTAATTGTAAAGAAACAAATCAAAGGAGCTGTAAATGCTGATTCATTGTTTTTAATTATATTATAAAATAATTATATTTGTAATTATTTTTTAGGGGCTGCACGATATGGTAAAAACATTATTGACATGATTTATGGTTAATGGGAATGATGTACTTTTTAATATATGAAAATAACTATTTAAATCATAATGACTGTCCCAAAACAAACATTTTACCTTTCAGCAAAAAATTGCAGCTTCTGTGATTTGACTAGTGCACTTGGCCATGTTGCAATTAATTGGGCAGCCCTGCTATTTAGTACTGTATAGATATTGTTTTGGCCTCATAACTGTCAAATAGTGAACAGAAAACATGTATAGAAATGAACTCGTATTGTTGGTGTAGATTTATTTATGTTGTAGTTCCATGATCAGCTTCACAATCTGTGTAGGTTGAAACATTGTTTTATTTTTTACTGAGATAAGCCTTCATTTGACTTGATTATTCAAAGTGAACTGCTGTTTACTGAATATGTTAATGAGCGGTTGTGTGAATGCTGTATGTGGCGTCATGCATGGGGAGAAAGTGTGTGTCGAGTCCCAACAGGAGCAACGTTGACGGGACTTTGGTTTTTCAAGTGGGACTTGATTTGTGCTGCATTCACATCTGGTGGGAATTTTCACCATGATGTGCATTTAAGTTTGTGGTTTACAGCAGATCTATGGCAATGGAAACCAAAACTAGACCACCACAACAAGTAGTTGTCATGGCAACTATAGGTATTTAAAAATGGTTGGTCTTTGTGAATCCTGATGTTAAAATGGTAAAGGATGGTAAATAAAATGTAAAGACATTTTCAGGAGCAAAATGGACCACATTTCTTATGGAACACCAGTGTAGCGTCAGTGATGGAGGTGAAGAACTCGGGCCAGGTTGCAGTGATTTAACATCAACATTAGGATCCTCCTGTGTAATTCCATGTCATACTACCTTTTGTTTATTTCAAATGTTCTATTTCTGATCATATGTAGAGAATGTAGATTAACTAAAGCTGTTAGATATGGTTCTCAGGCCATGCCCAGTTCCTAGTTACAGGCATGATAAAAAAACAAAAACAATGCTGGCTCTCTCACACACGGGATCTTGACTGAACTTCCAGGCCACGCCTCTTGTAAAAGGGAATTCATGCATGTTCAAAAAATTTTAACTCTTTGTCAATAAATGGACCACTTTAAGCAGCAGCGCGTTTGTGGTCATTTGTGTGAAGAAAAAAAAAAAAGATCTTCCGGGGTGACCTCACTGGAGCACTTTGCACGAGTATAAGTAGGTTCACTTCATCTGACGACTCCTGTGCTTCACACATGGCATTTTCTAATTCAGTAGTCAATAATACGACCTGCTGATCATAGTATTGTACTGATCAGTGTCTTCATTTACCTATGGATGATTAACCCAACATTTGTAATTGACCATATTTTCAGTCCCATTGGTGTGAAGTTGGAAACTTGTATTTAGATATTTCTTTTGCTTGTTGTATTCTAAATTATCAGTTGCTTCATTTATTGTAAAGACTTATCATGTATGGATATTTTACTAAAAGATAATTAAACCATCCCTTCTCAACTATTATTCAACTTTTTATATCTCATCTAAAATGATTATAATCGATCATATCAACATGCGTCTAAAAATGTGGGTTCACCTTGAAAGACCTTGATCATGGTAACTCAAACCTGCACTTTTACAAATTGTGATTTAATGATCAACTTTAAGGCAGCTGTGAAGAGCCAAAAAACTAAACAGATGTCAAATTAGCAGCGATCAGATGAGGCCAATTCAGTTATTATAATGTATGTAATGCGCTTTGCCAAAATATCCAACAAATTGTTGTTGATAGACAGGAAGCCAATTTATTTATTTCCCCACTGTAGTGTGTAAAGGTAAATACCTTGCAAGATATTATAGGCCAACAAGGTCTATGTGAATTCCAATATTTACAAAGTTCCCATAACCTCCCAGTCACCTGTTTTTTTAATATCTACACAGTTGCTTGCTCAAGGTGTCCCATGGGGCACTGATTTGGAATCGCACCCCTCGCATTTGATACTTTGCACCAAAAGGTAAAAACAATTCTATTGTTCTATATTCTATTATTCTGACCTGTATAAATGTATAACTGAGGCCTCATTTAAACCTTTAGCACTTGGAAGAGATAAATACTTCCTCAGGTCTGGATCGGCATACTGTGTGCACAAATCTGTCTTCCAGATATACAAACCACCAAATGATACACTTTTAAATGCATGGAGGAGAAATCAGATTGGATATTATGAAAAAAACAAAAAAAATCAGATATTTTCATTCAACTAAACAGGGATTGTTTTTAGACTAGTGGAACCAGAAAATGTGTTCATTGTATTTTAATGGAATCTTCATGCAATTCATTTTAGTTCCTTTGAGTCGTTTTAATTTATTCTTGAAGCACACTGCTATTCAAGCTCAATCCAAGTCTAACAAATCAAACCTCAGACCGGAGTAGCTGAAGTAGCTTTAGACAGCGTGAGGCTTTACACTGAGGGGCAGTCCAGTTAGAGATCCTGTTAGTAGGAGCAACACAGGCCTCTTCTTCACCCTTGTTGTTCTGGAAGAACCACACAGAACATTCAGAGCGATTTATTTCCTGTATTATTTATTGAAAACCCAGCAGTTGTCATTAATACCTGTTGTGCCTTACAGAGTAAGGAGATGTGGTCAGCTGAACTAGTTGTCATTCTGTTGTCAAGGAAATAAAAACGGCAAAGGACAAAAAGACGAGGAGAGAAAACGTTTCGATATGCTGCAGAATGACTTGTACTGTTTTCTCTTTTTTTCTTTTAACAATCGTTTTGAAAAATGCTACACAGATTCAGAGAAAAATAAGCGTTGACGAAGAGGAGAGTGACAGCAGTTCAGAGGGAGATATGGAAATGTTTTTAAATGAAAGACAGGTTTGGAGGAGTGCTGCTCTCATCTGTTTTCTCATCTGCAAGTGTTGCTTTTACTTATTTAGTCTAGTGAAAAGCCATCAGGAGACATTCTTTGACAATTCTCACTCTCTCTGACTCTCTGCGTCTCTTCCTCCTTCCGTCCTTCTTCATCGTTTCTTTGGAGGTTGGGCTGTGCGGGGAGGGGTGACGGGCCGGCCAGAGTTCATCCCCCCATACTGGTACTTGGCTTTCTTCTCAGATGGCTTCAGGATCTAGGAACAAACACAGGAGAATAGTTTACAGCAGAGTATAGTGCCAAAACTACTGAGCACCTGCGACCGTGGAATTTGTAGTTGTCGGAAACGAGACCTTAAATTCCTCACTGCAGGTGCACAAATTCTCTGTTATGAATTAGAGGTGCACCGATCCATTTGGAGTTGCACACCTGTAGAATAGCTCCCTTTTTTCTAGGATTTTTTTTTTGTCAATGTCAATAACTACAACTGCTTGAATCTACGAGTTTCAAATACTGTTTTTTTTTTTTTAACACTCACAAATGACACAAGTTCAAGTAGGACCAGGGGTGGGCACTGTTCTGAGATCAGAGTTCTGGTGGACAATCCACCTGGGCCAAACAACAGGATCAGGCACCATGGCGGGTGCGGTGATCACTCAGAGATAGGAAAGAGAGAATTGTTGGCCCAGTTTTAATTTAAGGCTGCTCCTGATGGTCCGGTCTGGACAAAATGGGACTCATGTTGACCAAACAAAAAAAAACAAAATCACAGACTGTTGTGCCCACTTCTATACAGAGACCTGCTCATTAACATCTGAGCCGTCAAAGCAAGACTCCGGCAAGATGAGAGGAAGTGGCTTCACATCGATGATGCTTGGTGCTCAAACGCAGTCAAGATGGACTCTGTTCCCCAAATGTCAGACTTTTTTGTGTGAAGATGAAACTTTCATTGTATCATCTGGTCGCTGCTGTTTACATTCACCCCAGATGAAAAAAATAAAACTTAATTACATGTGAAGTTAAGTGTGTGTAGCATGAAGGGACTGCAAACGTTTGTTTCGTTATACAACCTTGTGTTGTATAATGACAAATAAACAACCTTGTGCTTTTTAGTAGCTTCGTACCTGGAAGGAGCACATCAGAGTTTCATCCACGCTCATCATGCCGCCGGCGTTGTCGAATTCTCCACAGTAGTTGGGAGCTGAGAAGAGAGTCACCAGCTGCCGCTTTGCAAAGAACTCATAACCATCTTCTACCACCTGGGGGTGTCAGACACAGAGGGACATGACTCAGTGAATAACTTAGAAGCAGGTTTTACATAGACATCGTCATCTGATACGGACTTTTTCCAGCAGTGATGCGCTTTACGCAAATCTGTAAACACACTAAATACATTGTGATAAGACGTGTTAAACCACAACTGGATGGATGGATGTTTCTGGGAAGCCTGATAACTCAGTCTAGTTCCTGTTATGCTTAAGCTATTTCTTTGTATTTGAATGGTTAAATAACGAGCGCATGCGTTGTTGTGTTGTACCTGGTGGGCTCTGCAGATGAGGTCCAGGTCGTGGCGGTTGAGGAACTTGCTGACCACGTCAGCTCCAAAGGTGAAGGAGACGCCGCGGTCGTTTTCTCCCCAGCCCTGGACGTCCTTGTCTGGGTCTGACCACAGCAGATCACACAGGAGGCCTGGAGGGGGGAATCATACCACATTAATGCTGTCCAACAGGAAAGTAAGTCCTGTTTCATCTCAATGTTTGACCTGGGATTAAACACTCAAATCCAGGTCGGCAGGTACAACGTGTTCCCAAACTACTAGACGTCACCTTTCTGTCACATTTACAGTCTCAGGTATTAAAACGCCACGCTTGCCCTTTGTATATAGACACACATTCTTCACCTCCAGACATGAGTTTCCCTGAAAGACCATAAGTGGATCTAAGAGACAGCTGCTGCCAGGGTCCGAACACTGGCTGCCTTATAAGGACAAGAACACCCAGGTTTAAAGCAGAGGGGGCAGAAAGTCTCACTTCCAATGGTTTACTAGGACTTAACAACTCCACATTTTTAGTTAAGGACATTTCACAGCATTATTCTATAATTATTTTAAATCCAGCTAAAATGTGCGTTACTGAAGCTGAACAGACCTCAAAGTGCAACGAGGTGTGAGAGTAAGGAGACAGATGTTCGCATCTGTCAGTCAGCAGTTGCTCCCTTATTGGTGGGACCAGGTAGCACAGAGCATACATTATATAGCAAACCCATCATAAGTTGAGTTTACAAAGACTGGAATCACTGTCTTTTTATAACCTCATTGTTCCTCAGCTCAGGAGACGGTACAGGATTACTGGGTTCATGTTATTTGAACACTGCTTTTAAGAAATCCTCAACGGTAAAATATATGACTGGAAAAATTGTCTTTTTTTCCCCCCCGACTGAAAGTCACAAATTGCAAAACAATGCAGGTGCGATTGTTGTTGTTGACATTCTGTTTGTGTCTCGTCTGTCTCCCCTCACACTCCAGTCCTCCTGATATCGTTGACAGTTTTTCACCTCGTTTTAATATCGCGAGATCTCGTGGCACGAGAACATGTCACACCCAGTCCCAAACAAACCTCTCTCCTCCTACAGAATATGCGTCGCCATCTCCAGGCTGGCGTAAATATCAGCAGATACAGGAGTCACTGCGCAAGTTTGGCTAAAATGCATTTACTGCGAGGGCTAAAAGTAGAACTCAACTTGCACCACTGTGAGAAATGTGGGCCATTTCCTGCTCTGACAAGCTTGAGAAGTACAGGCCCAGATTTGTTTTGACCCTTGCACATCAAAATTTGTAACCTAGCAAGACAGGGAACTGTTCACTATGTTGCAGTGTGAGTACAACATGTATTCCAATGGGAGTGTGTCAATGTCTTTTCTGGTATTTGTCAGTCTGATAAGTGTTCTTTCATATTTTTTCCCCATTTGTGTTAAACACAGCAGTAGAGTTCACATTTAACCTACATTCATTAGTAGAGCGGTATGTGTGACAGCTGAATATAACCTGCATCACTGCTTCTTAAAAGGATTTCTTTGTATATTTTACACTACGTTACATCATTTGTCTGAGTGGCAGTGTGGAGTGGTCGCGGCAGGAAGGCTTCATCTGCAACATGAATAAAGTTCTGAAGTTCAAGTCCTCAGCTGAGCATTTCATGCCACGTTTTTTTGAGATTCTCTGTGCACAACACGGCCACACCCCATGGGTCACTGTCACTGTAACAGAGCATGATGGGACATTTAACGGCAGCTGGCTTATCTGGAGCAAACAAAGGATTGGAGGTGGATTGTGCTTTAAATAGCTGATAAACGGGCCTGATCCTGATCCTGTGGGTGGGATTGGGACAATCCTAATATATAAGCTTTGGCTCACTCGTGTATCAGAAGTATCAACCAGAGCTGAAGCGATTAGTTGATTAATCGATCAACGGAAAATCTATTAAAATAATCAATTCCTCGTTTAAGTCATTTATCAAAACAAAAATGTCAAATATTCTTTAGTTGAAGCTTCTCACCTGTGATAAGATGAGGCTTTTGTCATATAGGAACTGAATATCTTTGGATGTTTGAGCGTTACCTTGGGCTTCAGGAAATACTGATGGGAATTTTTCAGTTTTCTGACATGGTGACCAACTGATGAACGTTTTGAGATCACAAGATCTGGTCAGTTCCAGGTGTATGGGAAAAGCTTTGATATGCTCTGAGGGGGAGCAGAGAACTTATTTGATGGGTTTATATATTTCTTATACGTTTCTTGTGGTATTGTTCTCGTCTGCTTCTCGTCACCTTTTTATGCTGCCGTCTTGACCAGGTCACCATTATAAAAGAGATCACTGATCTCAACGGTCTTACCTGGTTAAATAAAAATAAATAAATGAAGAAAATAATCATCAGATTCATCAGTAATGGAAAAAAAATAAAATAAAATGTGTTGTAGCCCTTAAACTAACTGAAGTTAACAAAAGATTCTTTACTTGAGTAGCAATGCCGCTAGGAGGGACTGAACAAAAAATAAATAAAAACAAAAAACTACATTCAGCCAGGCCGTCTTTTCATTCACACATCACATCAATGGAACTCAGTACCACCATCAATTAGAGAGTCCCCATCCTATTACTCATTTAAGATTAAAATGGCTTATTCAAAGTCAACACTGACGCTGGTCCCATCCACCAACAATGACTAGCATCCATTTTTAGATTTCATCTACTCATCTTGTTTACTGATTGATTGTGATTTTTTAACCGTGTAATTTTTACCTTTTGTCTATTGTATAATGTATTTTATTGTAATATAACAGGCAAGGGGACTGCCGATGAAAACTAGCCCGTGGCTAACTCTGGTACGCTTACATTTGCTTTAAGTGTTGATCAGTGTACATTTCAAATAAACAAATAAATGAAAATACTACAGTGTAAAAAGTCTGGCATTCAAAATTGTACAAAAAAAATTCCATAACAGATCAGCAAAATGTTCTTAATTATCAAAAGTAAAAAGTACTGTCTGTTGTATAATTATATGTAGGGCCCTATGAAATCTGTTTAAATTTTTCTGAATTCTGTGTTTTACAATTGAAGCACATTTAATCATCAGAAAGAGTATGTGATCATGCGGTGGATGATACAATTCAATAAGAATATATTAAAAATGTAATCATATCAATGAATTTGATGTAAAGAAATGTGTGTAAAATGATTCATGGGGACTGTCACAATGAATACACTGTTTAGTTCTTGTAGCCTATTGTGAATTGTCCCGTTTTAAATAGGTTATTACTTTATTACTGATCATTTCTTCTGTTGGATTAATGTGTCAGCAGCATTTTAATGTTGTAGCACATTGAAGTGGAACTCATTTGAACTATTTAACATACAGTTGAGCAGTTTAACACATTTTATTTGATGATCGTATGCTTGGTGTGTACCTGTGTCAGGCACGTCTGTGGGTCTCATGATGCGTCTGATCTGCTCCATAGACTGCAGGTCGGGAGAGAGACCTGTGGGCAACACAATGACACAAACCCATCACCATTTGGAAATCTCTTCCTAAATCTCCCTCTGTATCTTTGCAGACACGTCAGTAAAGTTTAGACTTTCAGATTAGTAAACCAAAAATACTTAAAGCTTCTACGGTTTATGAGTTATCTTTCATACTACAAATCACTTCATGTGGAAGCAACAGCTGTACGGTGAGCCCTGAGGACAAAACGAGGATACAACCTTCCAACTAAGAAATGCTGATATCAAAACACAAATGCCAAATAAGGTGCTCCGAGTGCAAACTACCACCCACAAACACGCCGACTGATCCCGTTTGTCTGCATGAATACCTCCATGACAGCAGAAGATCTTTTCGTCCACTATGGCAGCGATGGGCAGGCAGTTGAAGCAGTCTGTGAACGTCTTCCACAGCTTGATGTTGAATCTGCGTTTACCTGCAAAATCCACAAGACAGTGAGTCAGGAGGCCTCATGGCCAAGACCCGTATAAGGCTGTGTGACATGTTTATACAAGCATAGTCTTGAGAAGATGGCATGTAAGACAATGTTTCCCATTAATTAATGAGACCATGGCGGCCCGCCATAGTTTAAAAGAAAAAAAAAAAAAAAAAAGCCTTTATGGTAAATCCACTGTAAGAGACCAGAGCGAGCTGACAGGCAGGTTAGTGACTTTCTCCTGTCAGTTTCTCTCTTTACAAAGACAAGTGTTGCAGCATGAGAGTCCTACCTGAAGAGAGGCTGTGAAGTCTCCATGTTACGCGATACAAGAACCACATACAACATTATTTATCAAATTGGGTTGGACTTGATGAATTTAGCACGAGGATACACATGTGACAACGTCCGGTTTCTATACAGTATGAAAATAAGATTAATTGGATCATATTCACAGAAAGTATAAAACATATCACATATGTTCATTTAAAGTCAAAACAAAAATGTTAGGGAAATTATTTTTTCTATTCCTTGATTTAGGGTGGCTGGAAAAACATTAAATAATTTTGTTGACTTTTGTTGCCGTTTCATCACCATTTATAGCTCTACAACGGGTTTATGATCAGATAGTTTACTAGAGCACATCATTGTTTACAAGAGTGCAAAGTTCTTCATAGATAGCCTCTTAATTTTGCACCAAATTAATGCATTTAAAATGTACAAAATGTTCTTCCGGGGTGGGGGGGGCATGTAATTCGTGACTCTGCCCCGTCCAGTCCTGCTCAACCTTCAGACCGGAGTCTGAACACAGGGCAATGTTAGCATGTTAGCTAGCGCAAACCAGCTTCACTTTCCAGCAGTTGTGGAAACAGACAGACTTTTATAAACGGACACACTGTGACCTACACACTGTACATTTACTGCCACACTGAACTTATTACTTGCTTTCAGCGTCGCTCGTCCACTCAGTCGCTACACAAACACATTGCACTGCAGTTAAAAGACTTAACTCCGCTGCTCTTATAACAGCATCTGTCACGCAGATGTCCTTTGATGAACGAGGAGAGGAAGCTAGCATAGTGTGATTTACCGTGCTAATCCACTGTGTGGGTGAAAATCATTTGGTCCACATTGATATTAATAACTGAGTGACATTTTATTAGCAGCGGTCATAATTCTGCAGCAGCGATATGCCAACTATAGGGGAACCATTTCTCTGTAATGTGCACGTCAACATTACCATATTAATTAACATTTAGATGATCCTAATGGATTTGTGAAATCTGTGAATAAATAAACCCAGTCTTTAATAGTTGACAAGAACAAACTTTGACAGTTAAATATGAGGGCAAAAAAACAGCAACAACAGAAAAACATTAAAAAACAAAATAATCGTTCAATAATCGTAATTGAGGTGAAATGTTCAATTAATCGTGATTTTGATTTTAGGTGGAATCGTCCAGTCCTATTCATGCATATTTGTTGAAAAAGTATTATTTTGAACGTTTTACCTCAGATTGGTGAAATGATCCACTGTTTGGCACCGAGTGTTTGTTCTGACCATAAAGAAAAGTTTAACACACAGTTAATGGTCTGGTTTCTTCAACTTTCACTCAGGAGCAAAAATCCGCCTTTAAACTTTGACTTTTATCACGATCATTATCGACATCGAATATGAAATTTGTTTATTGTGATGACATTTTTTTCCCCCTCATCGCCCTGCCCTATTCTGAAGTTTATAATGTTGCTGTAAATCAGCAACACCAAAATTGTACGGTTTTCTATTCTTAAACAGGGTCAGAAATAAGCAACCTGGACTCAACTAGGAACTAACTGAAACTTTTTGCATTTAAAAGTTATTATTTTATTACTCCGGAGTGCAGCTACAACGTTACTCTGAAAATCATGTCATATAATTAAACAATTCCAGATTTTAGCAATAAAAAGTATTGCTTAAAACTGAGAACCTACCAGCACACGTTTGACTGTGTGCTGAGTGAAACATAATAGGAAAACTGAAAATGAAACTCAGTCCACCTTCAGTATCGCTATACGAGAGCAGAGCACTCACACTCATCGTAGAAGCCGTAGATCCGGTTGATGGAGGCACACTCGTGGTTGCCCCTGAGAAGGAAGAAGTTCTCTGGGTATTTGATCTTGTACGCCAGCAGCAGGCAGATGGTCTCCAGAGACTGCTTCCCTCTGTCCACGTAGTCGCCCAGGAACAGGTAGTTGGCCTCTGGGGGGAAGCCGCCATACTCAAAGAGCCTCAGAAGGTCTGTGTACTGCCCATGGATATCACCTGGGTTGGAGGATAGAGAGGAGGCAGTGAGGGGTTGAGGAAGGAGGAGCAGGAGATAATGAAAAGACAGACATCGTCCTATAACTTAGAATAACGAGGTCAAAGGGGAGGTTACTGACCACAGATTTTGAGCGGAGCCTCCAGCTCCAGAAGGATTGGTTGACTGAGGAAGATCTCCCGGGACTTGATGCAGAGGCCTCGCACCTCGGCCTCCGTCATCTGGACAATCTTCCCTGGACGACATCCTCGCACTGGTGGGGGAGGGTGGAATTAGGTTCAAGAGTAACGGTGTGGGTTTTGGAGAAGATAAAGGCTTTCAGGTAGGGCTGCTCTATTATGGCAAAAATCACAAATCACAATTATCCTGGTCTGTTCCTGACTTAGGAAACATCACGCACTTATTGAACTTTTAAAATTAAATGCTTCATTTTTAAAAATGATTATATTTGCATTACAACAACAATCCCAAACAGCTTATGAAATAAGAAATAGTAATCCAACATTAACTTTAAAACAGCAGAGCACAAGACTGACTCCAACATGCAGTTACACCAAAGTTGAGTAAGAAAAGTATTAGTAAGTATTAATTATAAGTAATTTGTTAAGCTATGAGTGGAGGAAAACTCAGCTAGCCGCTAGGCTAATTTATCCAGTGTAAATGCTGGAGGCTTAAGCTAATAATGGCGACTACCACGTTGTAGCAGTTCTAACCCTGACGAGTGACTTTGTTTGGGCTTCAAGAGAGGGGTGAGGGCAACTGCTGTAAAAGAAAGGGGTGCGCTGGATTTATTACACAGGACAAACACAATGTGGCATAATAGTTTGATATCAAACTTGTTTTTATAATGTTTTAAAGTCCAAAATTGTAGTTGACAATAAACATTTGACTTTCAGGCAACTTTCACTTCTGTTGATCACCACGTAACTGTACACATCATCTCCCACAGGGTAAGTTTTTAAATTAACTTCAAACTAAAAGGAGACAGGGTTTAGTCAATAGACACAGGATTGAAATAGCCCTTGAGGGCATTGTTGATGTTGTTGGGAGTGTTTATGGAGACGCTTCCTGTTGTGTAACTGGGAGGAAAAGAGGAGGTCACTGTAGTCACGTGACAAGGAGCTGTAGATCAATGTAATGAGCTGGGATAATTCTATTAAATGTAAATAATACTGACAATAAAGTCAGCAGTCTAATAAAACTTAAGTACTTGTTTTATGGTCACAAAAGATGTCCTACAGGTAGATAATACAAGATAATACTTTGGAGCCTAAAGTGACTTCTTACACCGTCAAAATATACTGTGTGTTCCTAATTTTTAGAACGCACAAACAGCAAAGTTGCATAAAAGTGTGAGCTTCAGTACATGTTGATCAAAATTAAAACCTCAAAAGTCTTCTCCAATGTACCATGCATTATTCCTGAAACATTTTCAGCTCTTTTGCTGCCTTAGGGTGGTATATAAAGTTATTCCCTGCTTCATTCATCAGCTAGTTATGTGGCTATATGAGAGAAATGTATATACAATCATTCAAAAGAACATTACACCCGTCTTTTCAAAAGTTAGTTTAGTATGTAATCTTAACTCTTTAATTTGGTTGAGTGCCTGTACATACCCAAGTTTCCATTCCACTGCAATACATTTTTTCCACAAAATTACTTTTACTTTTTAACAATATATACACCAAACTTCAACGCACCGATCTTTCATTTTGTCTCAATACAAATCTTAACTGTAGAAGAACAAAAAAAAAAAAAAACCCCACACAGCTGAAAAAGAGGAAATACCCGGATAAGGAGTAAAGAATTCGTAAACAAGAATGTGATCAGACATTTGATATTCGAAGAACACATTCAGTCAATAGCCAAAAAGTACTGTTAGGTTGGACTAATTAATGGGACTGTATTAGGGCTTAGCTGAAACGACAGAAAATTTAATTGCAACTATTTTGACGATCAAGTCAGTTTAAGTTGAAGTAATTTTCGGCTGCTTAAATGTTATTTATTTGTCTTACATGATAGTAAACTGAATTTTGGGGTTTTGGACTGTTGGTTGGGTAAAAGATTTTGTTAACAAATGATGGCTATTGCCAGGCATCTTTGTAAGCGGATACATGATGACTAGTCCTGACGACCACCTTTAGCTAGCTTTACGATTTAAGCCCTCTATACTCCCTGTGTGGTTATATGAGCAGCAGACTCCTCCCCTTTTCCTCCTGCTTGGTAAACCTCAGGAGTGGGCCAGAGCTGACCAAGACTGCAGCTGCAAGATGACACCACAGCAACATGATGGAAATCCTAGCAGGCGTCAAACACCACTTAATAGGTCAGTCAAATATACAGGGTTGGATGAATCCTGCAGCTCCACTGCATGAGGAGAGTGTTTTTCAAGTCTTCCAGAGTGTGTATGAACCTATGAACAGATTCCCTTTTCCTTTACATCCAGTTTTAAAACTGTGTGGGTGGACGTGTGCAACATGACCCTGCTATTTCTGCCGGGAGACTCAAAGCCAAAACACAAACTGCGATCACATAGGCCCCCACCTGAGGTGTAAGACCAGGGCTATATTTAGACTGGGAAAAGCTAGGACAGGTTAAAATGAAAACGAACATAAATATATAATGACAAGAAAAACTTGCAAGGTTTTAATGCTGCAAAACTCCGGTTCACTGCGCCCTTATAATCCTCTTGTGGTTTAGTATATAAACACACCGGATTATTGGTCTTTATGCACAACAGCGAGTACCAATACACAAGCAAGGAGTGCGTGTCCACAGAAATGTGCGCCCACTGTCAAGAGTGATTTCACACCCCTCCCTTCAGTCCTGCGATGACACGTTTGCAGGTCTGTGCTGGCTCAGCTGACAGAGAGGGAGGCCTGATACAGGACACACACACACACACACACACACACACACACCCCCCCCCCAAACCAGCACTAGTCTCACTTGCCTGGGAGGATCCCCTTTCATCATATGGTTAAATCAAGGCAGACCCAGGAACACTAACACACACTCAGTTTCTCCTTCGCTCTCTCTCACACACACACACACACACACACACACACACACGTGACCTTGACTTCAGATTGTACCACTAGGGGCTTGTAGGGGGGTATCCCAGCATCCTTTACTCTGTCACCACTGCACTGCAGCTTCCCCAGTGAAGAGGAAGAAAGGGAGTGAAATACCAGGAAAGAGACGGATAGAGAGAGAACGGGGAGGTACCCACATCGGATCACCATGGCAACCCAGCAAGATCAATTTCCAGCCAGGTGTTGGTGCTGCTGTACCGGGATGGGAGGGAGGGAAGCTGATATGCAGATAAAGTTGCATCTCCATCAACCCACGGCCTGCATACTAACATGTAGTGCACCTGACAACAGTGATGGAAAGCCTTCAAGAGGCCTGCACAGCCCCACACACACACTATTAGTTCACTAGTGAACTAACACTGGAGCAATTGAGCTCAATATCACTATTTTAAAATACAGTTTCTGCTTTTGTTTAAATGTTTAACTGATTTTTAAAACAAAGAAAGCTGGGAAGACATTTGAAGGCATTGCTGAGTATTTTACCAAAGTCAGAAGGTTCAAATCAGATTCAATAACATGTTGTGTTACGCTGATACAATGCACACTGATCATTTTGTCTTTATTCACTCCTTCAACAGGAGTGACAGCAACAGGTAGCAACCTGCCAGCTAGCTCGCTATCATGGTTGTGTTTGAAACAGACAGGAGTAAAATATGTAAAGGAGGAACTTTTGCAAGGTTGTGGAGATTCTGTTGTGTGTTTAAACGACCTGTTTAACTTTGTCTCTGTGTTCCTTTCGCGTAGGTGAAGCAGAGGGTGAGCTTTGATTTGCAGTGATATTACTGATTTATTGATAGAACTGTTTTGGGATGGGGAGGGGTTTATAGATTTGATCCCTCACTTCCCCAGACTTCTCTGCAGATTTTTCAGACCACATTTGACATCCGAGTACAAACAGCTAGATGTTTATTATGTATATAAATGGTTTGCTGTTATGTTCACAAATGCTTGCCAGAAGAAGAACAATTTGTTTAAATTAGTAGGTTAATCAATTTGTTTAATCAACAGGAACTTATTCTGTGATATCAAACTAAATATCTAAATTAAATATATCCAGAATTTGGGAAGTTGTGATGGATAGACTTTTTGCTAACATTTCACCAGGCAAGGTAGAAGATTCACATGACGACACGGCCAGACAGTCCACACAGATGCACAGTTGTTCTTCAGCTGGTGCCACGAGCCGGGTCCCTGGCTAAAGCAGCTGCCGAGCTTCATGACAGCCTCATCTGGACCGGGGGGGAAACTGAGCATTTCCCAGCTGCTTTTTATGCAAAGGTTAGTGAAGGTTTCTTCTATTAGAAACCTCTATGTTCCAATTCATCTCTCCTAATTTGGTCAGGTGCTTGGGTCTGACCTTTTTCTCCAGCTTGATCCAAAGGAGATCACTGGACTGCAAGCAGCTGTTCTCTCTCTCTCCGTTTCCCTTTCCCAGACCTCTTTTTCCGCCTCCTTCACCTCTTCATTGCCCCTCCCCTTTCCTCTTCATCTATTCATCGTTAGAGTTCTTGGCTAAGGCTGATCTCCTGGGTCATCGTCCTCCTCGGCCTTGCCAGTGAACTGTGCTGACGTCAGAAGACAGCTCCACCTCGCACCACTCCCAGGGTGGTTTTTGCATTCCAGACAGCTCGCAGTAAAGACTGTTCAGACCTCAACAGCTCTGGCTGGGAAACACACTGGTTAGGGCATCAAAATCTAATACTGTTTATAGTTTTAGGATATATAGTTTTAAAATTAAATGAATGTTCCTTTTTTTTTATAAAAAAGGGTTCTACAGGGAACAGAAGTCTACAGGACTATGACTAACATGATATCTCACTAGGAAAGTATGCACAAGGAAACCACAACATCTTAACCGATCTAAAGCCGATCCAAACAGTAAGCCTGCACTTCATTTGTAGATCTTGAATTTAGATAATAACAATGTTGTTTGCTCAAGCAGATGACTAACTGGACTAATATATTACTGTAACATATACTGTAAGTGCTGGGAAAAGGAAATTAGGGCTTCAACTAATAATTATTTTCATTATAGATTATTTTGTTTGCCGATCAGTTAATCGTTTGGTCCGTCCAAGGTGATCCTCAGCAGGGTTTAGTTTAACTGACATCTATAGACCAAACGCCCGGTGGGAAATATGGAAAAATAAATAAAGCT